TGGGTGGCGACAGAACAAAGCTTGGCTGCTATAATTCCATTAGCGTGTGTGTATGAGGATTGACGATATAATTGAACACACCCACCATGGCGCCTGTTACGTCATCTGTCCGTCAAAATACACAATAAATTTATAGTGCTGCCATCTCTTCAAAACAAAATTAAGTTTTTATTTTTAAAAATTGAAGAATGTGCTGCTGCTTCTCGAATAAAGATTTTCACTTGTTATTAACAAACTCGACGCAATGCATGTTAATTTAGATAAACGATCGCATTCAAATTGAATTTCTTTTTTAAAAGGTGCGAATGTAATTAAAAAATGTGAGACTTGATGTTATAATAAGAGAAGCTGTTTTGTTAGGATCGTTCTATTGTCGAGCTGTTTATTCGAGCGTTCATTTTTGTTTCCTCTTCTTTTGTTTGGTTAGGTTCGTTTTTGCTGTCAGTCCTTTGATAGAAGCGTAACAAAGTTTACTCTGCGCTGTTACCTGTATAAAGGCAACGCATTTTAAATATTGGGAAACAAACAGATGTCTGGAACGTGCTTGCATATAACAGAAAGCAGAGTAAAATAAAATAGAGTGAGAACGGTATACTGAATTGGTTGTGACATTGCCATCTGTCACATTTGGCTCTGTCACCAAAGAACCGATTTTGATTTATTTGTGTGTGCCTTTAGAACTGGTTATTAAAGAGATAAAATAATATTAATAATAATCACGAATAATAATAATAACAGATATCCATAGTCATGTAGCTTTAAAACTTTAAAGCTTAGTGTTAACTATATGTGCCAGTTGCTTTAACATTCACTAACTGCATATTGTATTTATGTGTTTCGTATGATTATCACTGTGAATAGGGATTATTTCCTTAAACAGCATTAACCAGCTCTTCTTCAAAATGGTGAAGTGTTGTGTTTTATTTGAGATACGGACAAAGTTCTTAAAATATTGTTTAAGCGAGCTTCGACTTCTAAGGATTAAGTTTTTTGTTTTTTTTGTTTTTTTGTTTTTTACTTATAACATCGCGTTAGTTACCTGCGCAACATAAGTAGCAGTAAGGCGTTGAAGCATGCAATTTCTTACCTGAACGTCTGTATCCGGGTCGGTACGAGCCCCCTGTTGGAAATGTTGAGCTGTGGGGGGCTCAGTGCCTCGTGGTTCCCGTAGTCGATGGATAGGACATACGGCAGCTGAAATTTACATCTCGCGTTAGTTTTGTCTCGCATAAACAAGTGGTCCTATAGGACTATAGTAAAACACTTGATTTACCACTAATTAGGAAACTGACCTAATAAGTAAAAGACCATCTAAAATGCTGACTACTTGTCATTTGTAATTTTACATCAGAAACGATATGACAATGTACTCCTGACGTCAAAAACTTGCGAACATATCGGGTTAAGCAAATATTTGTTACATAAAGTTGTGTTTTACGGTTTGATTTGCACTTATGGCTATATGCAATACGTATTTGTAGCACGACACTGTTTATGACTGTGCGTGTATTATGCAGGACTAACCAAGCTTGCTACACGGCATTGTATTATATTTACAAGTCCTGCTAACATTAGGCAACTTTTAGAAGTACTTCTATAGGATATAAAGGTATGAAACGGACAAAGGAAAGGCTGTAAGGGATGAAGATACAAAATATATAATTGCCCGTTAAGTTTTAAAGGAAAATTTCACTAGTCAAAATAACTGAGTGACTAACCAATTTTCAAAAAAACAACTTCCGAACTGACTAATTCGCTAAGTGACCTACCAAATAGTTAGCTGATAAACTAACAAACTGAGAAGCTACCTAGCCAACTAACCAGATAATTATTTAAGGGATTGGACATCACAGTAGATGTGTTTAGTAGATGTTCTTGTATAGCTTGTGTGTATGTGTTAATTAACGTGACATTTCAGCTTCTTGCTAGCAACACAGTGCTAAGTGTGTCAGTTTGGGACAACTCATGTTCTATGCCCTGATACCAGGTTCAGATGCTTGTGTATCTGTGATCCTTTGTCCCTTTCGTAAGCCGACTCTGGCAACTTGATTATGTGATCCTCTGTGAAGGGACCCGTCAGAAAATTACTCATACAGAATGAAGATATAATTTGCGCAGGTATGTAGTTTGATCATTAATTAATACTATTCATAATGTTACGGTCAACGACCTTGCCTTAGAACCAGATACCTGGACCGGAGAATATCTTCTCCTAATATATATATATATATATATATATATATACCGCATCACTCTGATTGATAAACTCAACACTGTTTGAATAGATAATTGTTATATAGAGCCCCAAGCACGGATTGTTATTGTTAAGGTAAAGTTTACGTTGTTCAAAATCGATACGCTATAAACGGAGATAATTTATAAGTTTAAACGAAGTCGAGTACTGCATTAAGGAGTATCACAATAAATTTAAGTGCCCTAAATGTAGATTGTGCCCTTCCGCATTATAAGTTCGTATTATTTATTATTGTATACAGTTCAGAAGTGAAGGATGAGGCAGATTCCAATGTCATCGCTTGAATACCAAATTTAAAGAAAATCCGTCATTTGGTCCAGTGTGTTTATGGAAATATGATTGTATGCAAAGAAACCGTAAATTAAGTTAAGTTATGAAGTCAAATAATATGTCAGTAGGCGAATGCGTCGAAATTCAGAGTTGAACTTAGTCGGTGTGAAAAGAGCAGATTGCTTGCAAGTGTGGTCACATAAAATGGCGTCAGAAGTAACCCTTCCAGCGTTGTGGTGTGGTGAATTTTTTTCTTCTCCGTCTTCCTGTGTTATTGGGTTCATAAAGCTACCACGCCACAGACCCAAAGCTTCCTTGGTTTCAATTACAAGGCTCGTACTTCTCCCGCGCCCCTCCGACCCCTGAAGACTCGGTGGCTTTGATTAAAGTACTGAGCAGGATTCATGCCCGCTTTGTAAATCACGGGCAGACAGCGTTCACCACTTATCTAAAGCGATTGATGATCATTACGTCTGGGTAGATTATCAACGTTAAGGTAATTTGACGACGTTATTTTAGTTACACAGGCTATCGGTTGATTCTGGTGTTCCTTAATGACCCTTGCTGAATACCAGGATGACTGTTTTCTTAATGGAGAGGGCGGGAGTGGTCGTGGCTTATTTTAATTTTGTCTCCAGCGTTAACCTGGAGGGACTGAGTAAAATCATAAATAACGTGTCAGATTAGCGGTTCTGATGAAGACATTTGAACCCAGGATTTTCAGACTAGGAAGGAAGTGTGTTAATTATTCGACCTTATCAACTGCTTTACGATAATGAATTATGAATAAATATCCAAGAATTTGGAAAGATGTGGTTGTGGTCTGTAGTAGCCAATACACTGCGCTGTCATTCGCTTGGAAAGACTTGGGGATACAAAAACGTGGCTTTCAGGTTCTTACGGTGGTGGCGAAGATGGCATTCTGAAGAGATGTAATCTTCTACCAGACTGTACGGCACAACAACCGAGGAGATAGCCATCTTCATCTCAAGAAATCTCATCAGGATAGCCTGTTACCCAACCAAGGTTCGAACTGCTTACATTCGAATACAAATCTAGAGTGTTACCGCTGTATTAACCTATTCAGTGCAAATATTCCCAGTCGTAAAATGTTGTCTAGGCGACAGACCTTTCGTCATTTCGAGTGGGGACGCTCCCGTATATCGGGAGTAAGGCCGAGTGGGTTTTGTTAAATGGCTGGTAGGCAGTGTCTGAGGTCTGAGCGCCACAAAGCCAACACAATTCCCACAGAGCGGTGGACCCAGCACCGAGACCCAGTTAAGCGACAGACTGTACACGGCGGAAGATGCACAGTCCTGCCCTTCAAATTTGGAAACCTTTTGAATTTATTATGAAGTACAAACGCTTTGCTGAAAAAATTAAACAACAATACAGATGCATTGTATGGAGGTAGACTATATAATGTTTTTCCTTTCACTTAACTAGGTTGTGTATTAATTGCGTGAAGCAAGGTTCTTCTTGAGAAGCTATTAGTCGCTTAGTTATTCCAGAAATTCTCCGTATTTTTTGAAAATAGGAGGTTTATTATCGTGTTCACAAAATTCAAACTCGATAATATAATGCATTATTTCAAATCGGTCAAAAAATTGTATTTTATTTATTTAAAATTCATTTTAGTACTAACCTATCTGTGCTTAGGTCTACTAACTGACCCTTTACGTAAGATTTTCTGGCTGGATCTTACATGCATTTTCCATATTTGTTCCGTCTGTTTCATTCCTTATAATTCCGTTACACGAATGATGTTCGTTGGAGAGTACAAACTGTGAAATTTCCCACATGCATCATTCTCTATTCTGTTATTTCTCTCTTACGTTTAAATATTATCCTAAACCCTCTGATACAAGCACCCTCAGACTGTTATTGATCTTAATTTAATTTTATTTAACATACACCCATTTCTATACAACAGGTTACTTTTGAGAAATTTAGTAAATTCCATTTAATCTATGTGTAAAGTGTCGGACCAAAACTGACCACAATAAAGGTCATCAGATTTATCTTCTGTGACCTTACTTCCGCCTTCATAATCCGTTGTTTTGTTTCGGGGGTTTAACACTGGTTAAACGGAAGGTAAGATGACAACAAACTTACATTCAAATAGTTCAAGGCCATATTTATTTCAGGGTCTCGTCGCCTGTCCGATGCGGCAACTTCTCCGACACGTTTGTTCAGCGTGTAGTCGAAACAGAATGTTACAGGCGGTTTAAGGAGATTTTACTGGAAGTAATAAATTATAATATTTCTATTTTTACTGGATACATAAACAGCTTTATGTCTTCTTCTGTGCACGTATAAAGTCGTTTGAAAACTTCCTATAGTGTATCTTTAGTAAAGTAAATACACTGAACATGGAAATTATTACTACAATACAATACTTTTATTTTCCGTCGTTTCACAAGCTTATTGTTAAAATCACATAAAATTTCACATAAAATTGTTACATTTTTAAAATTGACGACATGTTTCGATATACAATTCTATCATCGTCAGGTCTATCAAAATTAAAATTAAAATCTGGTGTATCTGTTGCTCTGCTTATATTGATTTTGTTTTTACCCGTTTTTGACGGAAAATAAAATAAAACTATTGTATTGAGGAACACAAGCAGGATGCAATTAAGATATAAGCTGTACAATTGTCAAATAAATTGCATATATCAATTGTTAAATTTAAAACGTAAGGTATTGAAGTGCAATGCTAATATTAGGTTTAACAAATTATGTTTAAAGGAGAGAATAACACCGAAATATGTAAAAATAAAAATACAAGGAAATAATCCTAATATACAAAGGCAGAAACATTATATATAAAAGCAGAAATTAAACAATTATACAAAAAGAAATATCAGTTAAACATATTAACCTATAAAAAACATTTAGAAGTTGCAAACATATGGAAGGATGTATGGTTGGACATAGAAAATGAAATAATACAAAAATTAAAAACCGAATTGACTAAAGTATATCAGAAACAAAATAATAAAATAAAAACATTAATAAACAAAACACGAAACGAAGATAATAACGAATACAAACAAAATGAACCATCACACCATTTCGCATGTCGCGCCATATTTAAAAACTGTTTAATTTTTCTTGCATATGAGAGGTTTATTTGACATAATCGAACCATAATTAAATTATTCCAAAAATTTGTAGTGATGACCCCATAATTCTAAATTAATTATGTAATTATGCTAATGTTTCAGAAATTAAACACGCGGCCGGGCATGCAGATGGGTAGACAGTGATGGTGTGTTTTCCCTACGCACTTATTGCAACGAATAATTGCAAACCATGTGATATTTGAATTTATAAATGTCCTTATTTGAATATCACATTCCTGCGAGTCACCGTTTTATATTGATTACATGTTACAAGGAAGCAAAGTGAAACGTACCGAAGTTGAAAGGCTTAGGGCGGACATAAGATTAGGCTCTGGGTAGAGTGGTGTCAATGCCACATAATTTCCGTCGCAGGTACCCTCCTGCGAAGAGCCAGCGTTTACCTACCAGAAAACCGCCGTTTACCAACAAAACTCCATTAACCCGACCTGCTTCCTCCTCTGGGAATTACTGGGAATGTGGGTAACCACCAAGTCGCTTCTGTAAGAATTGTCCTTCGGTTACTGGAATCTGTTGTGTTTA